TGCTGCCTCCCCGCTACTCTCAATTACAACTATGACCGCAATCAAAGATGCTTTCGAAGACTGGAAACGTCACTCTCAAGACAGGACACTTAACAAATCAAGGACAACCAGACTATCCAATTGGCGTAATGTTAATGTGCCAGAAGGTGATGTCAAACGGTTTAAATTTTTACGTGATGTGTTAAATGGTCTTTTTGGTTCACGGAAAAATAGCAATCAAATAGGCCAAGAAACTAATAGCAATGATAATAATAATTATACAAAACAAACTGAAGGATCTTCTTTGCCTACAATGCAATCATTTCAAAGTGCAAAATGGACAGACAGTCGTTGGCAAGATGTTAGAGTTGGTGATATTATACAATTGAGAAATAATGATCCTGTCCCCGCTGATATGATAATTTTATCCACGAGTGAACCTGATGGACTTTGTTACGTAGAAACAAAAAATCTTGATGGTGAAACCAACCTTAAAATTCGTCATAGTAACAATGCCACATCATCTTTGTTAACAGAAAGTGATTGTGAGCAAGCTTCTTTTTATGTTAAATCAGAGCCAGCACATGCCAATCTATATTCATATAATGGTACATTACATTGGATTGGTGCTAATAATAATGGTGACGTGAACCATCCCAACGAAAAGGTTGAACCGTTATCTATCAATGATGTCCTATTGAGAGGCTGTATTCTACGTAACACTGAATGGGTCATAGGATTGGTAATATTTACTGGCACTGACACTAAAATCATGTTGAATTCTGGCGATACACCAAGTAAAAGAAGTCGTATAGAAATAGAAACAAATTTTCATGTATGTTTTTTTTCAAATGAGAAGAAACAAAGGAGTATTGGGATAATTAAAGTTTTCCTTCAAATAAATTAATTTTAATTTTAATTTTAATTTTTAGGTTACCATGAATTTCGTTATATTGTTCTTACTTTGCTTAGGTTCTGGAATAGCTCAAACAGTTTATTTTATTCAACCTCGAAGTTCTGCAGATGTTTTTGGTTATGAAGGTGACATTAGTGGTGGTGCATTATTTAGTGGATTTTTAACATTTTGGTATGAAAGAAATTAATAACTAAATGATTGTTGTTAAAAAAGATTTTTATACATAATCAATCAATTTATCATTCATTTATTCACAGGACAAGTTTAGTTTTATTTCAAAATATCGTACCAATTTCACTGTACATTACAATTGAAATGGTTAAAACTGTACAGGTAAATTTATATATATATACTTATTTTATTTATTTTTGCATAATATTTATTTAATAATACACATTTGATTTTTTTTTACCTGAAAGGCGTACTTTATTCATTCAGATGTTGAAATGTATTATGAAAAGCTTGATTATCCATGTGTTCCAAAAACATGGAATATTTCTGATGATTTAGGTCAAATTGAGTACATTTTTTCTGATAAAACTGGTACATTGACACAAAATGTTATGGAATTTCGTAAATGTACAATCAATGGTGTTGCATATGGATTAGGTGAAACAGATGCTATGCGTGGTGCAAAATTACAAGAACGACTTGATAATGGCGGAAATGCAAGGAATGATGATGATGATGAGGTTGACTTGGAAGCAGAGAAAAAATTAATGTTGGAAGAAATGTCAAATTTATTTGAAAATAAATACATCTCTCAAAATCTTACATTCATTGATTCAGAATTATACCAAGATTTAAAAGTTATGGATCAACAATCAAAGGCTATTCAGGATTTCTTTTCTGTATTAGCACTTTGCCACACTGTATTGGTTGAACATCCTAATGAAAATGATCCCTATACAATTGATTATAAAGCTCAATCACCAGATGAGGCTGCTTTGGTTGGTTGTGCAAGGGACATTGGGTTTGTGTTTCTTGAACGGTATCAGGATACTTTAGCGATTGAAGTGATGGGTCAACGTAAAGAATTTACATTGTTAAATGTCTTGGAATTTAATAGTACTAGGAAAAGAATGTCGGCTATTCTACGTTTGCCTGAAGGAGGAATAGTTCTATTGTGTAAGGGTGCTGATAGTGTAGTATATGAACGTTTAGAAAAGGGAACCCAAGTAAGGCTAAGAGAAGAAACTTTGGAAGATCTTGAACTTTTTGCTAAAGAAGGTATTTATTTGCATATTTATATATATATATATTTATATATTTATTTATATTTATATTTATATGTATTTATGTATGTTGTATGTATAATATATTTATATTTGAATATTAATTATGTTGATTTGTTTAAAAAAAAAAAAATCAAGGACTCAGAACACTTTGTATAGCATATCGTACTATATCAGAAGAAGAGTATAATGTATGGTCAGCAAAATATGCAGAAGCAGCATCCAGCATTAATAATAGAGAAGAAAAAATAGAAGAAGTATGTGAGCTGATTGAACATTCATTGATATTAATGGGAGGAACTGCGATAGAAGATCGACTTCAGGAAGGTGTTCCAGAAACTATTGCCACATTGGCACAAGCTGGTATCAAGTTATGGGTGTTGA